TGAATTTTTGAGCAGTGTGGTCTCAATTCACAATAAACACTAACATTAGTTGTATAAGAAGAGGTGGTCAAAACATTATTAGTGACTAAGTCGGTGAATATGAATTAATCAGCCTAATTAGTCATGTATAGGTCTTTACGCATCTCATCTATACAACTAATGTTAGCGGCTATTGTTAATTTGTTTTTTGCAATGATCATTAGGTTAAAGGCTCAAATTTTGTTCTTGCACCAAAGATTGAGAGCAATAATGCGCTATGCCAATAATTACTGTGTTTTAATCTCATAGCATACCAAAACATGCATAGTTAAATGATCCCCTTAAAGCAACTCCACCCTTGGTGGTTGCTCGGGGGACAGGCGAAGGGAAAAGGCCCGAGGGCCGGTGGATAGGGCTCCAGCGTTGGGCAGCCTGAGTGAAAGTGGGAGCCCGAGGGCCAGGCCCGTGGAAGATTGCCAGCCCTGCAGCCCGAGATGGGTGTGACGTCAGGCTGACGCCAGGTCTGGCGTCGGTCCTTTTTTTATTTTTTATGTCAGGCGCGTACCCTTCACTCGCGAATGGGGGCGCGTCAGCCGACAACTTTATAGGGCTTGGTGCCCGCGCGCCAGTTTCAGTAGGTGACCGTTGAGAAGTCATGTGGCTTCCCACGGTCAGTTCGATCTCAACAGCTCTTTAATATGAGCCTTCCGATTTGAAACGGTAATAAAAAAAAACTGATTTAATATCAACTGTTCGATCTGAGATCAACGGTTGATATTAATCTGCTTTATAAATTAAAAAAAATAGTTTTAAAATTAAGAAAAGTTACCGTTGTGACACGTGGGCACAATCTAGAGTGTTGGAATTTAATTAAATCCAACGGCAGAGATTAATTATTTGAATAAAAAAATTTAAAAATTGTAAAAAAATCCAAAGTTTTTTTTCTGAAAATTAAAAAAAGAAAATGTTTCTACTTTTCTATAAATACCTTCTCATTATCATCTACCTTACACCACAATTTAATATGTTCTCAACTACTTTCAATCACATTCCCATCTTTCACTCAAAGTTTCAATCCAATTTTTTTCAACAAAATGACTACTGATGCAGGTACGATTGGACGTCTCTTGAAGATGTTGCATTGTGTACTAACTGGGTTGAAGTTACTCATAGTTCGCATACGGTTAATGAGATGCAGTTGCGAGAAATGTGGAGTCTTATTCATACCAATTATCTTGAGAAAATGGGTGGGAGTAGAACCAAAGAATCGATGTCTAGTCGTTAGAAATTACTTAGCCAATCGTTTACTATTTGGAGAGACTCCTTGGCACAAGCTAGTAGTAATCTTCGAAGTGGGGAAAATTACACGGATCATGTAACAATATATTATTTATTTTTTTGTATTATACCCAAATTTACATTGTAATTATTTGTTTGTATTATTTATTTGTTACCTACTTTGATTATAATTTTTTGTTTGTATTATTTATTTGTTACCTACTTTAATTATAATTATTTGTTTGTATTATTTATTTGTTACCAACTTTGATTATAATTATTTTTTATCCCCCATTGTGTAGCTAATTCAAGCACAAGCTTGGTATAGTGCCAAAACCAAAACCAAAACCAAAAATAAATTATTCAACCGGTGGGAATGTTGGAATATTGTCAAAGATTGTCCTAAATTCAGAGTTGTGCCTGTCGGTCCAGAAGTTGTCATGAATAGCATCCATTTACACTCTACACCTGATAATGGCTCGCATGAAGATGATGCAGAAGAAGTGCCCGAAATGCCCATCCCTGAACAAGCGTCAGGTTCGACCCATTATCCAATTAGGCCTCAAGGTAAGAAGGCTTCAAAGAGAAAAGGAAGTGCTTCCAAGCATGATTATGCAAAGTACATGGAAGAACTTACTCGCCATAGTGAATTAATTTTGGCGCGGGAAATGGCGAAATTTGAGGCTAATAAGGTTAGAGATGAGGCAAAAGCTACAACTATTGAGAGAGAATTTCAAGCTAATGAGAGAGAAAGAGAGGTACTTAGGCAAGAAAGGGATTTGGTTAGAGAAGAAAAAATGGTTCAACGAAATCGTGAGATTATGAACACGCCTTTAGAAGGAAAGTCTCTAAATTCTAAATATTTTTGAAAGTCGGAGAAAGAGGATGTGGTGCATAGGAGGCGTGCAAGAGAAGCGAAAGCAAGAGGAGATGGTCCTAGCACGACAAGAGAAGATCATCCTAGCACCACAAATTGGTTAAGTGATGATGAATAGAGTACTTTTGTAATCGGAGCCCATAGTTTTCCAATCACCTTGGGTTGTAATTATTATTTATTGAATTAAGTATTTTATGTTGTTTCCAATTTATTGAATTTAGTATTTTATTTAAAGTGAGAGTAAATTTATTTAATATGGTAATATATTTATACTATAAGAGAATCTTTATTCAAATGACATAAACACACCAAATAAAAAACTCACGAAATGAACTAAAATAAAACGCACCAAATAAAATTACATAAACACACCAAATAATAAAAAACTCACTAAAAAAAAAAAAAACACACCAAATAAAATTACATAAACACACCAAATAATAAAAACCTCACTAAATGAACTAAAATAAAACACACCAAATAAAATTATATAAACATACCAAATAATAAAAAACACATTAAATGAACTTAATTATCTTCAGCTTGTTTCAATGCTCACTGGTGCTCTATCAAGTCATTTTGCCGGACATTGTGCATGTCTAGCCTTTGAAATGTAGTATATCGTTGAATGACCCTTTCATTGTAACGTCCATCTCTTTCTAATGTCTCATGTTGCATGGGCTTATCGATGGCATCATGAGCACAATATATATGTGTTCTTGAATTGTTCATCGTGTCTGGCTCATATTCATCAACGGCTTCATAATCGTACTCATCTTCCACAATCATGTTGTGAAGAATGATGCACGTCATCATGATGGATCGAAGCGACTCTACATCAAACAATCTGGCAGCACCCCTGACGATCGCCCAGCGAGCTTGGAGGATACTAAAACAACGCTCCACATCCTTCTTGCACCCCTCTTGACAGCTTGCAAAGTGTTTTTCCTTTGCACTTTGCGGACGTGGCACTGTTTTGACAAATGTTGACCACCTTGGGTAAATGCCGTCAGCTAGGTAGTATGGCCCGTTGTACATACGTCTGTTGACCTCATACGTGACTTTTGGTACATTTCCTTGCAGGATATCGTTGAACACTGGGGATTGAGCAAGGACGTTGAGGTCATTTTTATCTTTCGAAACCCCGAAAAAGGCGTGCCAAATCCATGTATCAAAAGATGCCACCGCCTCCAAAATGATACTTTTTGCTCATTTTCTATCTCCATAAGCACCTTGCTATGCACTTGGACAATTTTTTCCACATCCAATGCATACAATCAATGCTCTCAATCATTCCAGGAAAACCTTGCATCTCGGCCTTCTTCAGAAGCCTTTCCAAGTCCATGTGAGTAGGTTTCCGGAGGTACTCTACGGTGTAGATAGATTCGATTGCTCCGCAAAACCTCATCAGGGACTCAAGAATGGTTGATTTCCCCATCTTCGCTATCTCATCCACTTGGTCTGCAAATGTTTCATGCGCAAGCATCCGCAGCGCAGCAGTAATTTTTTACTCAAGAATGAGACTTATAGCACCACAAGCATCATTCGTTTGCACAAAGTAAGAATCATGGTTGCAAACAGCAATCATGATTTTGTTGAACAAATGTCGTTCCATTCTAAAACGATGTCTGAAGTAAGTATCAGGAAATGCACTATTATGGATAAAATAATGGTCCAACAGCTCAACACCTCGTTGTTGCCTGCTTCTATCAAGGTTTCCGGAACGGGTGGGCCTGCATATCTGAGCCACAGCTTGGATGACTCGACAGGAATGTGAGTCTCTGGCCATTCTTACCTTGTCATCTCTCCTTCTCCGCTCCTCATCATTTTCCTTCTCATTTTGGGCTATATGGAGATTGAACATTCCTTCAGATTGGTTAAACAATTCTTCCTCTTCTTGATCGATTTCCCACATCATGCTTGTAGAAGAAGACATTGTAAGTAGAAACTATGAATAATGATACAGATTTTGATTGGTGAAAAAGGAAGTAGAAACTATGAATAATGATAGAGATATTGAGAAAATTGGTGTGAGATTTAAAAGGATGGATGATGGATTATATGGAGGATTCTGAAATGATTAGGTTGTAGATAGTGCCACATAGCATGCCGTCATTTGTTAAAAATCTGATCGAAATATATCCTAAAAGATTCTGAAAAGATAACGACACATGGCACGATGACATTGGATAAAAATCTTATCAAAATCCATCACCAATAATTATCTTTTCGGATAATGACACGTGGCGCAACGAGAATGATTTAAAATCTGATCGAAATCTATTCTCAAAGATTCTGAAAAGATAACGACACGTGGCACGATGACATTGGATAAAAATCTTATTGAAATCTATGATCAAGAATAGTTGTTTTGGGTAAATGACACGTGACGTAACGAGAATGATTTAAAATATCATATCCGAAATTACATATAAATTTATTTAGTATTATTTTGTAAAAAAAAAAATTAATAATATTTTATTACCTATTGCCATGGCTATTCAGATGCAACGGTGGAGATGCAAAAGGTAATTACTTTTTATTAGGATAGTTACTGTTCACATGGTGGATTGAATAGTGGATTGCCTGGGAAGAGGGTTCCAAAGGTGGAGTTGCTCTTAAATGAAAAACATGAGTACTGAAAGACCGATGAGAAGAGAACACGAGCTCCTATTTCATTGCATTATTTCTAAGGAAAATTAATTAAAAAAATTTAGAAATTTTGAGTTTTAACGATAAGGATAAAATAAAGGGTAAAATAAATAGTACTATGATTTATTTTTTAGCGTAAAAATATAATTTTTCGTTCGATGAAATTTCCTCTTTTCTATCTCTCTCCTTTTTCTCTGTTTTTACTTTGACTCTTCCATTGCATATTCTTTGAGAATTCAGAAAAAGGGTTCGTCGGTCTTCTTCTGTCTGATGCACACAAGTTCATCAGATGCGTGCTACTACCAAAGTTCCCATTTCCCTGCCTAATTAAAAGATTTTTTTACAGTCTTAATAATTATTTATATATAATAAACATTGTATATGGTTGTAGCTGAGCTCTTTTTTTGCTTGTTTGAATTCTGGGTCGTCGAGTTTTGAGATCTTGATGCTCTGTAACTTTTGAGTTCGTTCTGAAGGCTCAGTGTTCTGTGATTTCTCTGTAATCTTGCCTCTCTGGGTTGGCTTTATTTATTTATTTTGGGTTTTTTATTTTTTCACAATTGCATATTATTTTGTTCAATATTTGAAGGAAATTCCTGGAGCATTTCAGTACAATTTGCTCCCCTTTTTTGGGGACTTTCATATCGTAGTGGATCTGTACAATTTTCTCTATTTTCTTTTCAAAGTTGGTTTTGCATTTTCTGTTTGGTTTCCCAGAAAATTTAGGGAGATGAGAAGATGGAGAATAAAAGTATTTAAAAAATGGTAATGCTCTAACGCAATCAATATGCTAATAACCCAGTTGACTTTTTTCCTTTTAAAGAAAGTATAAAAACGCGGTTCTCTTTTCAATTTGTTTTTAATGGTACATTTGGTTTGACTTCTGATGGAAGCACATTACAAGCAGCAAAGTTTCCTATTAAGCTTGTGAGGTGAAGTTGTGGAGGGAGGATACTTGTTGTGTTTGTTACAACCTTTCGTTGTCGGTGAATTTACTTTCCTATTTTGGTATGATTTGTGCAAATTGCTTCCTGAGATTCTTTCATTCTTACAACTATCTTAGGCTGTTCATAATGTATTGTTTATGTTTAGTGTCTGCTTAAATTTATGGATTTTTTTTATACGAGCGGTATTTGAGGGAGGGGGAACCGAAACTAGGATCTTGGGTGCAAGGCTAAATGCTCCTAACCAGTTGAGCTACAAGTGCCTTTCATCTGATCCTTTAATTTGGGCTATATGGTGGCCTGTGGTCTGATTTAAAGCCCCATTAAGATATGTTGTCTGGTTTATTGATTATATGTGCACTACCAGTGAGCTCTTTCCCAATCTGGGCTTTGTTCCCCTTTCATGGATTTGATTGTATTTCAACTAATCTAGATTTCCCAGACGGATCCTGTCAAATGTTTTAATTTTTTCTATGAATACTTACTATATCCTATGAATTTCATTGCACCGGAAACTATTACAGGAGAAGTTCGAATCTGTTATGTTCAGATATTGATCTGTCTTGGTTTGACATGGTTTATGCGTTACTGGTTTCCGGATAGGCACTGTGTGTTTTAGCAGAAAGTTTTGTCTACTGAAAACCCCTTTATTCATGCTCTCAATTATTTTGGTGGCAAAAGAAAATGCATGATGCTCAACAACAACAACAACAACAACAACAAAGCCTTTTCCCACTAAGTGGGGTCGGCTATATGAATCCTAGAACGCCATTGCGCTCGGTTTTGTGTTATGTCCTCCGTTAGATCCAAGTACTCTAAGCCTTTTCTTAGAGTCTCTTCCAAAGTTTTCCTAGGTCTTCCTCTACCCCTTCGGCCCTGAACCTCTGTCCCGTAGTCACATCTTCGAACCGGAGCGTCAGTCGGCCTTCTTTGCACATGTCCAAATCACCGGAACCGATTTTCTCTCATCTTTCCTTCAATTTCGGCTACTCCTACTTTACCTCGGATATCCTCATTCTCAATCTTATCCTTTCTCGTGTGCCCACACATCCCACGAAGCATCCTCATCTCCGCTACACCCATTTTGTGTACGTGTTGATGTTTCACCGCCCAACATTCTGTGCCATACAACATCGCTGGCCTTATTGCCGTCCTATAAAATTTTCCCTTGAGCTTCAGTGGCCTACGACAGTCACACAACACGCCGGATGCACTCTTACACTTCATCCATCTAGCTCATATTCTATAGTTGAGATCTCCATCTAATTCTCCATTCTCTTGCAAGATAGATCCTAGGTAGCGAAAACGGTCGCTTTTTGTGATCTTCGCTAGATTGCTCCGGTCATTAGTGTGGATAAGTACATAAATGGATAGAGATAGGAAAGCAAACACAAGATGTACGTGGTTCACCCAGATTGGCTACGTCCACGGAATAGAAGAGTTCTCATTAATTGTGAAGGGTTTACACAAGTACATAGGTTTAAGCTCTCCTTTAGTGAGTACAAGTGAATGATTTAGTACAAATGACATTAGAGTACAAATGACATTAGGAAATATTGTGGGAGAATGATCTCGTAATCACGAAACTTCTAAGTATCGGAGTGTGGTATCATCTTGACTTGCCTTATCTGTCTCATAGGTAGATGTGGCAGCTTCTCTGGAAGTACTCTTCCTCCATCCAGGGGTGGTATCTTTAACTGCTGGAGATGCACAAGGTAATGTATCAATTTCACTTGAAGCTTACTTGTAGTTTCAGGCTTGGTCAAGCGCGATACAAACCATGTAGTAGGAGTCCCCCAAGTCGCCGAGCTAGGGGATCTGCTGAAAGAGGTGACAGACAAGGTAAACAATCAGAGCTCCGGCAGATTGTTCACCTTCTCCCCATCTTGCAGCAGCATGAAGGATAAAGGGAAGAAAAATAAGAAGAGATGATATGGGATACTTTTGCTTTTGAAGAAGTAACTTTCCACAGGCTTATTCTTGAACTGAGCTGGAGGGTTTTCTGGTTTCCTCCAGAGTATAAGGCCGACTGAAGAATTTGAGGGTCAAAACAAGTCCATCAAATCTAGAGTACGTTCGACCCTGCTGATATGGGATACTTTTGCTTTTGACAGAGTAATGGATGTAGGCACGTGTGCTGTTACGCTTGTTTCCACATGCTTCCTTGTATCCTTCGCACTTGCCCTATCTGTTCCTCAAGCAGATGCGGTATCTTCCCTGGAAACATAAGATGTTGAAGATGAGTACTCGAGAGCAATGCCAGATAAGTAATCAGGTAAGGGGTTCCAGGCAGTCAGTTCCTGGTTGGGAGCTTGATTTCAAGTGCTGACTGATTGCTCTCTTTCTCCTTGTCTTGCAGGTAAAAACAAGGCCAAAGGAAAAGACAGGGAAAAAGCATGATATGGGATACTCTTGCTTTTAACCCTGATGATATGAGATATTCTTGCTCTAGTATAGCTTGTTTGCAGAGGTATTATCGGGGGGAAAGAAAGCTGAATATTTCGAAAGGCTTCGTTGGGAGTGCCCTCTCAGATATGAGGAAGGGTTAAGCATTTTTGCAGGTCTGCCTGTCCGTAGGGGATGGAGGTCGACATATATAGGAGTCTCCCTAACAACAAGTAGTAATGCTATTCCTTTACCCTGCTTGGTCATAGCACGGTAGTGGGAGCTGCCAGCTTCACATGTTTTAACTCTGTCAGAGCACTTTGAAAAAGTGGTATGTGGTATCTGGCTCTAGAGATTCGGAGAACGATGCTTCTTCGATTTTTTAGAAAGCAATCATGCTGGGGGTCTGGCTCTCGAGATTCGGGGAGCAGTGTCTCTTCGATTTTTGAAAGTAATCATGTTGGGAGTTTGGCTCTCGAGATTCGGAGGGCGGTGCCTCTTCGATTTTTTAGTAAGCAATCTTGTTGGGAGTGTTTTCTCGGATGTGAGTAAAGGTTGGGCATGTTTGCTAGTCTACCTTGCCACGAGGCACAGAGGTTGACACACAGGGACTTTCCAATTATCCAGCAGTGGTACTGTTCCTATACCCTTATGGGTAATAATATGGTAGCTAGACCTTCAAAATTTATGTGTCTAAACTTTGTTAGTGCTGTTTCTTTGTTATTCTTTTACCTTTCTTGGTCAGAGCGATGTAGTGGGAGCTGCAAGCTTCACGTGCTCAACTTTGGCAGAGACTTTGGCAAAGTTATCTGTGGTACCCATGAGCTATTGTTGCGTGTGGGAAGTGGGTGATTGAACAGTAAGATTCATGTGCTTTCGACTTCACCAGAAGTCTTCGACAGAATGCTCATAATTTCCGCAAAGCTGAGTGTGCGTGTGACAGGTGCTGACAAGGCTAGAAAAGTAGGTGCCTCTTCGATTTCTGAGATCGGCCCTCGTGATCTCTGAGCAGCCTAGCTTTTGAGAAAGAGAGCGCCTCTTCGATTGATTCGGAGAACGATGCCTCTTCAATTTTTGAGAAAGCAATCATGCTGGGGTCTGGCTCTCGAGATTCGGGGAGTAGTGTCTCTTCGATTTTTGAGAAAGTAATCATGTTGGGAGTCTGGCTCTCGAGATTCGGAGGGCGGTGCCTCTTCGATTTTGGAGCAAGCAATCTTGTTGGAAGTGTTTTCTCGAATGTGAGTAAAGGTTGGGCATGTTTGCTAGTCTACCTTGCCACGAAGCACAGAGGTTGACACACAGGGACTTTCCAATTATCCAGCAATGGTACTGTTCCTTTACCCTCTCTTCGATTTTTGAAAAAGTAGTCATGTTGGGAGTCTGGCTCTCGAGATTCGGAGGACGGTGCCTCTTCGATTTTGGAGCAAGCAATCTTATTGGGAGTGTTTTCTCGAATGTGAGTAAAGGTTGGGCATGTTTGCTAGTCTACCTTGCCACGAGGCACAGAGGTTGACACACAGGGACTTTCCAATTATCCAGCAGTGGTACTGTTCCTTTACCCTTGTGGGTAATAATATGGTAGCTAGACCTTCAAAATTTATGGGTCTAAACTTTGTTAGTGTTGTTTCTTTGCTATTCTTTTACCCTTCTTGGTCAGAGCGATGTAGTGGGAGCTACAAGCTTCACGTGCTCAACTTTGGCAGAGAACTTTGGCAAAGTTATCTGTGCTACCCATGAGCTATTGTTGCGTGTGGGAAGTGGGTGATTGGACAGTAAGATTCATGTGTTTTCTACTTCCCCAGAAGTCTTCGACAGAATACCCATAATTTCTGCAAAGCTGAGTGTGCGTGTGACAGGTGCTGACAAGGCTGGAAAAGTAGGTGCCTCTTCGATTTCTGAGATCGGCCCTCGTGGTCTCTGAGGAGCCCAGCTTTTGAGAAAGCGAGCGCCTCTTCGATTTCTGAGATCGGCTTTCATGGTCTTTGAGCAGCCCAACTTTTGAGAAAGCAAACACCTCTTCGATTTATGAGATCACCCTCGTGGTCTCTAAGCAGCCCAGCTTTTGAGAAAGCAAACGCCTCTTCGATTTTTGAGCAGGCGCCTCTTCGATGTCTGAGGCTCCGTCGAGTGCAGCTTTTTATAGGGGCTGGCATTAAGTTCCAAAGCACACTTGAATCTCCACCAGTAGAAGCTCCATTCTTGCACTTCTAAGATCTTGATTTGTCCGACCTCTTCTCTCTTCAACACCTTTGAAAATGTCTGGCCCCTCCGACTGTCGTTTTGACTTGAACCTTGTTGAAGAGGCAGCCCCGCCTTCTCCAGACAACATATGGGCCCCATCCTTCGTCTCCCCTACTGGTCCTCTTACCGTTGGGGATTCTGTGATGAAGAATGATATGACCGCTGCGGTGGTGGCCAGGAACCTTCTCACTCCCAAAGATAACAGACTACTTTCCAAACGGTCTGATGAGTTAGCTGTTAAGGATTCGCTGGCTCTCAGTGTTCAGTGTGCAGGTTCTGTGTCTAATATGGCCCAACGCCTATTTGCTCGAACCCGCCAAGTTGAATCATTGGCGGCCGAAGTGATGAGTCTCAAACAGGAGATTAGAGGGCTCAGGCATGAGAATAAACAGTTGCACCGGCTCGCACATGACTATGCTACAAACATGAAGAGGAAGCTTGACCAGATGAAGGAAACTGATGGTCAGGTTTTACTTGATCATCAGAGATTTGTGGGTTTGTTCCAAAGGCATTTATTGCCTTCGTCTTCTGGGGCTGTACCGCGTAATGAAGCTCCAAATGATCAACCTCTAATGCCTCCTCCTTCTAGGGTTCTGTCCAGTACTGAGGCTCCGAATGATCCCCCTCCGATGCCTTCTCTTTCTGGGGCTCTACCGACTGCTGAGACTTCTCCTAAGCAACCTTTGTGAAGGCTCCATCTTGTTTGTTTATTTTGACTCATGTATATGTACATATTTGTAGCTTATCGGGGATATCAATAAATAAGCTTTCCTTCATTTCAACGTATTGTGTTAAATACACCAAAGCCTTCTTCGCTAAGTTCTTTGAATTTTCTTTTGTTGAAGCTTGTATGTTGAAGCTTTCTGAGTGGAGCATGTAGGTTGGGGTAATGTTCCCTTAATTTTCCGAGTGAGGAAAACTTCTCGGTTGGAGACTTGGAAAATCCAAGTCACTGAGTGGGATCGGCTATATGAATCTTAGAACGCCATTGTGCTCGGTCCTGTGTCATGTCCTTCGTTAGATCCAAGTACTCTAAGTCTTTTCTTAGAGTCTCTTCCAAAGTTTTCCTAGGTCTTCCTCTACCCCTTCTGCCCTGAACCTCTGTCCCATAGTCGCATCTTCTAATCGGAGCGTCGGTAGGCCTTCTTTGCACATGTCCAAACCACCGTAACCGATTTTCTCTCATCTTTCCTTCAATTTCGGCTACTCCTACTTTACCCCGGATATCCTCATTCCTAATCTTATCCTTTCTCGTGTGCCCACACATCCAACGAAGCATCCTCATCTTCGCTACACCCATTTTGTGTACGTGTTGATGCTTCACCACCCAACATTCTGTGCCATACGGCATCGCCGGCCTTATTGCCGTCCTATAAAATTTTCCCTTGAGCTTCAGTGGCATACGGCGGTCACACAACACGCCAGATGCACTCTTCCACTTCATCCATCCAGCTTGTATTCTATGGTTGAGATCTCCATCTAATTCTCCGTTCTTTTACAAGATAGATCCTAGGTAACGAAAACGGTCGCTCTTTGGTATTTCTTGATCTCCGATCCTCACCCCTAACTCGTTTTGGCCTCCATTTGCACTGAACTTGCACTCCATATATTCTGTCTTTGATCGGCTTAGGCGAAGACCTTTAGATTCCAACACTTCTCTCCAAAGGTTAAGCTTTGCATTTACCCCTTCCTGAGTTTCATCTATCAACACTATATCGTCTGCGAAAAGCATACACCAAGGAAGATCATCTTGAATATGTCCTGTTAACTCATCCATTACCAACGCAAAAAGGTAAGGACTTAAGGATGAGCCTTGATGTAATCCTACAGTTATGGGAAAGCTTTCGGTTTGTCCTTCATGAGTTCTTACGGCAGTCTTTGCTCCTTCATACATATCCTTTATAGCTTGAATATATGCTACTCGTACTCCTTTCTTCTCTAAAATCCTCCACAGAATGTCTCTTGGGACCCTATCATACGCTTTTTCCAAATCTATAAAGACCATGTGTAAATCCTTTTTCCCATCTCTATATCTTTCCATCAATCTTCGTAAGAGATAGATTGCCTCCATGGTTGAGCGCCCTGGCATGAACCCGAATTGGTTGTCCGAAACCCGTGTCTCTTGCCTCAATCTATGCTCAATGACTCTCTCCCAGAGCTTCATTGTATGACTCATTAACTTAATACCCCTATAGTTCATGCAATTTTGTACGTCGCCCTTATTCTTGTAGATAGGCACCAAAGTGCTCGTTCGCCACTCATTTGGCATCTTCTTCGTTTTCAAATCCTATTGAAAAGGTCAGTGAGCCATGTTATACCTGTCTCTCCCAAAACTTTCCACACTTCGATTCGTATATCGTCTGGGCCTATTGCTTTTCTATGCTTCATCTTCTTCAAAGCTACAACCACTTCTTCCTTCCGGATTCGACGATAAAAAGAGTAGTTTCTACACTCTTCTGAGTTACTCAACTCCCCTAAAGAAGCACTCCTTTCATGTCCTTCATTGAAAAGATTATGAAAATAACCTCTCCATCTGTCTTTAACCGCTTTCCATCCTCATCCTTGATGCACCTCACTTGGTTTAGGTCCCTTGTCTTCTTTTCCCTTGCTCTAGCTAGTTTATAGATATCCAACTCTCCTTCTTTGGTATCTAGTCGTTTATACATATCGTCGTAAGCCGCTAACTTAGCTTCTCTGACAGCTTTCTTCGCCTCTTGCTTCGCTTTTCTATACCTTTCACCATTTTCATCGGTCCTCTCCTTGTATAAGGCTTTACAACATTCCTTCTTAGCCTTCACCTTTATTTGTACCTCCTCATTCCACCACCAAGATTCCTTTTGGTGTGGGGCAAAGCCCTTGGACTCTCCTAATACCTCTTTTGCTACTTTTCGGATACAACTAGCCATGGAATCCCACATATGGCTAGCTTCCCCCTCTCTATCCCACACACATTGGGTGATTACCTTCTCTTTGAAAATGGCTTGTTTTTCTTCTTTTAGATTCCACCATCTAGTCCTTGGGCACTTCCAAGTCTTGTTCTTTTGTCTCACTCTTTTGATATGTACATCCATCACCAACAAGCGATGTTGATTAGCCACGCTCTCTCCTGGTATAACTTTGCAATCCTTACAAGTTATACGATCCCCTTTCCTCATTAGAAGAAAATCTATTTGTGTTTTTTACGACCCACTCTTGTAGGTGATCACATGTTCTTCTCTCTTCTTAAAGAAGGTGTTGGCTAAGAAGAGATCATATGCCATTGCAAAATCCAAGATAGCTTCCCCATCCTCGTTTCTCTCCCCAAAACCATGGCCACCATGAAAACCTCCATAGTTGCCTGTCTCCCTGCCCACGTGTCTATTTAAATCTCCTCCTATAAATAACTTCTCCATCTGAGCAATTCCTTGCACCAAGTCTCCAAGGTCTTCCCAAAATTTCTCCTTCGAACTCGTATCCAACCCTACTTGAGGTGCGTACGCACTAATCACATTGATAAGTTCTTGTCCTATTACAATCTTGATTGCCATGATTCTATCTCCTACCCTCTTGACATCTACAACATCTTGTGTCAAGGTCTTGTCCACGATGATGCCAACACCGTTTCTCGTTCTATTTGTGCCCGAATACCAAAGTTTAAACCCTGAGTTTTCTAGATCCTTTGCCTTACTACCAACCCACTTAGTTTCTTGTAGGCACATAATATTTATCCTTCTCCTCACCATAACTTCCACTACTTCCATAGATTTTCCCGTTAAGGTTCCTATATTCCACGTTCCTAAACGCATTTTGCTCTCTTGAACTCTACCCTTCTGTCCTAGCTTCTTCACCCTCCCCCGTCTAATAGGATCAAAGTACTTCTTTTGTGTGTCCCGTGTAAAGTTGATAGGAGCATATGCTCCCAAACAACTTTGAGTGGAGTCGTTCGAAAAGAAGTTTCTACGGCCCCCTTGCTCATTTAACACTGCATCCGGGTGCCGATGGAGATACAGCGACCCTTGCTCACTTATCACTGTACTCGGGCCACACAGCGCGCCACTTACGGGTGACGCCCTAGCTTTAGCGCGATTTTGTTCTGGATTCATTTTCATAAGGATTCGACGTGATCATGGAGTGCCGGCTGTCGACTACCTGACGCCCTCCCCCTCCTCCTTTATCCGGGCTTGGGACCGGCAATGTAAAATTACATAGGCGGAGTTAAAATGCATGATGCTCAATCGATTAAAATTTCTTAAAACTCTTTTTTTTTTTTTTTTTCCACATTTTGTGAATTTAATTCAGATGACAGTTAAACCTCAACTTTAATGAAGCTTTCTGATCTTGTGCTATCGAGATCTTCGTGTTCTGGTTTCAGTGGTAGTTTTACAAGCATGAATCTGATAATTTGGTTCTGTTTCCCTTTACAGCAGTGTAGTTGCTAATGTCTCCACCACTATTGGGCGGTGAGGAGGAAGGGAAGAGCAATGGGTCTATGGACTGTATCTCACATAATGGCTCTGGACTGAAAGAACTTAACTACCATGGGCTGTCAGACTGTTCTTCAGTCAACAGCTCCGTGGTCTCAAACTTGTCAGAGGGGAATAAGAACAATCTGAATTTAAGGCTCCAGAGTTGAGGCTCGGTCTTCCTGCATCCCAATCACCAGAACGGGAATCAGATCTTTGCTTGCTGAGCTCAGGGAAACTTGACGAGAAACCACTGTTTCCTTTGCTTCCTTCAAAAGATGGAATCTGATCCTCATCACAGAAGGATGGAGTTTCAGGCAACAAAAGGGGCTTTGCTGACACCATGGACAGATTCTCTGAAGTGAAAAGTTCTGCATATACTGAAGGAATGGATGTTTCATGCAGCTGGTTCTGATTCTGAATCTCCAGAATCTGTGGGACAAGGGAAGTTCCCTTTGAATTCAATCAATGTAATGCTATCATCCAGGCCTTCTGGGACTCAGCCAACCATAACAAAAGAGGCATGTACTAAAGTCTTACAAGAACAGTCTAATGCTACAAACGGAGGCAGCCATAACCCTTTGGGTGCTTCTAACAACGGCAGTGCCCCAGCTGCTAAATAAGTCAACATTTTAGATGGAGAACTATGAAGTTTTATATGAAATTTGTGGTCTGTTTGTAATTGTAGCCGCTTTTGGTTGACAGGGCACAAGTTGTTGGATGGCCTTGAATTAGATCATTTAGGAAGAATTCTCTAGCCACCACGTCAAAGAATAATGACGAAGTGAATGGAAAACCTGGTCCCGGTGGACTTTTTTTCAAGTTCAGCATAGATGGGGCTCCCTACCTGAGAACATATTCTACATTTCAAGATCTGTCTTCTGCTCTGGAAAAAGATGTTCAGCTCTTTTATCATAGGTGAATTATTGCTGTATTTAATATTGATATCATATCTTTATTATTATTTTTTCTTTCGTACCAATGTGGTCATTTCATGTTTTACATATAGAAAAAACATTCCATTTCTGCTTGGACCCAATTTGCGCACTTTTAATTGTGATTTCAGGGCAATAAGGGTCCCGTGGAGCTCCAGGGAGGGAAAGACCGAGTGAGAGTAAGCTGAGAGATGATCTTCATGGATCAGAATATGTGCATATATACGAGGATAAGGATGGTGACTGGATGCTTGTTGGGGATGTCCCGTGAGAGTAAGTTCTGATTCACGTCTTTGGCATTCCTTTATTTTTCTTATTGTTATAGTGTAGAAAGTTAGAAACATTCTTTCATTATTTCTGAAAATTGAAGCTTTTGTTTTGAAGTTAACCCTTCTTAGTTCTCACTCAAAAAACAATAAAGTTTGATGTATTGCGTACAATTTACATGTATGGTTTATAAAACGGGGAATGTTAGGATTCCCCCATCAATGAGAGTGAGGACTTACCTTGTGAAGGAGGGTGATACTAAATTTTAGACATATGAGAAGGATGAGAATCTTCTTAACGAAACGCTACATTACCCCATTGTCAAGATGGCAATACCATATTGTAGACTTGCAAGAAACTAGAGATCTTAATCATCTGAAGGACTGGATAGTCTGGATTAATCTACATTTTATCCTTCTTAATTCCCAATTTATCCACTAATTTGTATCCATGTGATGATTATGTATGGATGAAAGTTATGGTATTGGATGTTTATGATGTGTGTAGGATGACACGAATAAAAAGTTTGTGAAAGCATACATGAATCTTAGTTACTTAACATATAACCTTTTGAGGTCCAAATGAACCCTTGCATACACTAATTTGTATTCATTTTCAGTATTTTTTTTGTAGAATAAAATACAAAAAGATAGGGTGGTGCCATCCAAACACCTCTTTTTACCTTCCACACACTCTCAATTTCCGGCTGTCCGATCGAATGAATGGAACTGTGGTATTTGTGGGAAGTAGAATGATTTGGCATGCACTTCAGTAACTCAGTTAGCCTTACAGTAGACAATTGCTTTTATTTTTGCTAGTTCTATTTGGCTCTGCTGTACATAATTGTAATGTCTAGTTTTTTACGAGATAAACATTCTGGATCTTTTCACCTTTTGATTTAAATGATGAATTGTACTCTTATCTTATCCTGTTGCTTTGTTCCATAGCTCCTAGGACCATGGAGAAGTCCAAGAACCGTAACTAGCCAGTGGCAGAAATCGACTGCTTCAGGTTGCCAAATTCAAAGTAAACATCTGAGCTATGGGGAAAGAGGTGTGAGCTGCTAAAGTGGGAACTTTGGAAGGATACACTGGCAGTGGCCTTGGGCTGGATGGTACATGGTAGCATTGCGTCGAGCAGCTTGTCTTGTTCTTGTTTTGATGTTTGAGTCGCGTCGTTTTGTGTCTGTTTATTATAAAACATCTTAAAACTGGTTAAGAATGTTAGTAATTTGTGGAATTGATAATGTTACAGCCAATTTAGTTGAAATTGTTTAATTTGATGAATCTGTGATGCTGATTATTATTTTTGCATATCCCTTCTTTTTGGTAGTAATAGTTAGTTCTGTTCTTCATTCATCTCTAGATTGGGCTGAGTCGGGCCGCACCATAACTGCGTCTTAAAACGTTTTGGCATTGGACGGCCCAGCCCAGTACACTCAGGGTTACATATAAAACTCAGTCAAACGTTATGCATAAATATTATTCTCAACAAATCATATTCTAAGTTTTCATAACGTGCAGAATGGATTATATAAGAATTGATCGGCCGACTCCGTCGGGTTGGATTCTCTTCCTCTCTGCGCCTTGACTACCGCCCCATAGGCTTGGCATTTTGGACCCAACCCGTTAACCCGACCCGACCCAACCCGTTAATATTTGTATTTGGGTGGATGCTTAACGGGTCGGGTCGCTAACGGGTGAACCCGTTAACAACCCATTAAATAACGGGTCACTTTGGGTCAACCCGTTGGACCCGTTAGGACCCGTTAACACCCGTTAGCATCCGTTAGTTGAGGATATTTTAGTAATTTTAGTAAAGTCTTAATAACAAAAAATAAACTTTATGCAAAAAAAATAATAATAATAATTGTTAACGGGTGTTAACGGGTGAAACGGGTGACCCGTTAGTTTAACGGGTCGGGTTCGGGTGACCCGTAGCTTAACGGGTTGGGTTCGGGTGACCCGTTAACTTAACGGGTCGGGTTCAACCCGACCCAAACCCAATAAACCCGACCCGTTTACAGGTCTACCGCCCCATGTGGTGGCCTGTTATATAAAATTGCTAGACAACATTGTTCAAGTAAGAACTTCGACAACATTGTATGTATAATAACTGAACAAACAGTGTGTCGTGTCTTAATATTTTGTTTCCTTTGTCCTGTTGGTTAAACAGGATTTAGCTCCTGGTAACAGATATGTCATGTTTTGTTTTTACCACTATTAACTTTTAGTGCAACTTAATTAGTTTATTAAACATTTTTTGCTCTCCCATTCGTTCGTCGATGTGAATTCGACAGAACTTGGATCAGAAGGATTTATTCTGATCCATCTGACATGATTTTCCATTCTGAAATTTGTTGTTTTTCTTTGTCATTTTCTCTTCTATTCCGATTGGATTGGTGGTATTCACAAGAATATATTTGAACTTGGATGCTTTACAATGGTAACAATTTTCGCACTTTCGTTTTTTGTTTCTATAATTCTCCCTTGTTCCTTAATACTTCTATGATTTATTCATCTGAAGGTTAGAAAAGAAAGGAGTGCTGGGAAAGAAATCGGAGTGCGAAATTCATTTTCCATTTAAGTTTTTTCATGAGACTCCCAAATTCGTATTTGAAATACGATGAATTTCATGTACTCAAGAAAAATATATTATGGCAAACCCATTTTTATCAATCCTAAAAATCAAAATGATATTATCATATATTGTGGTCCGGCTGCAATGGTATGTTCTACTTAAGCGGTACAGGTTTTACGCAAGATCTAAACATTGCAAAGATCCATTAAATTCCTATATACAAGATCTTATCGTTGAAGTTACTTAGTACTAAAGTGAGAGGTCTTAAGTTTGATTCTGGCTAAAGACGAATTTGAACCACATTATTAAAAAAATTGCGATATTGCAGCCGAAAGTCACGTTTGCTATTTTTATGATTCAAGTGACTATAAGATCCAGTAACTAAAATAAAGTGCATACTTTTACCGATCCAGTTGATTGGAATGTTATATGACTTCTGATGAAGCAAAGGCAAATCCTTCACTTCTCTTGTGGCGGAAGAATATTTGCTAGATTTGCCAACAAAGTATAATGGGGTACGTATGTCAACAAATACATTTTATGCCAAAAAAAAAAAATTAAAATGCATTATCGCAAAAAATTAAACTTTATTTGTCATTACATTTGATGTGACAATTATATCACTTTGATTAATGAACCTTTTGACTTTATTTCTTGTAAAATGTTGACCATTTTGGTTGGCAAAACTAGTGATCATCATGTGTGGTGTTTTATTTTGGATTTAAGCCATATATTCCTTAATTTAATTATTCGTATTATTGTGAGGTAAGTGAGTTAGTTAGTGTTAAGCATAATCATGACATTTCATTTTAAATAATATAATTTCAAACTAATATTTTGATTGGAGTCGGATATGTTAATTTGTAGATTCCATAAATGATCATGTTACTTTTGATTTCAATCATATGAAGTGGGTGGCTTATGTTCATATAACCTTTGATTAAGAAATAAGATGATGTTTTTTTGTCATTTTCTTCCCATTTGTCATTTATTATGGAGAATGGGAACTTAATTAGTGTGCCAAAGGCAAGACATTTCATTTGTAGTACAAGCTTAGTCTTTTGGTGGAATTGTTTAAACATATCTAAAGGGTGATTTTGATGAATCTTATTGTATATTTGTACATCAAATCAAACTATTAAACTCTATTTTGTTAAAAAAAAATGTAATCTCACATCATAAATTTGACAAAATGAATTAAAATTTATATTACATGGTTTTACTTCTAATTGTACTGATACTTTTTATGTAAAATTCGACACTCAAATTGCTAAATTGGAACAATATAAATGTGATCAATAGTAAGCCACCAATCTGATTTTGAAATCTTGACATTAGATTTTCAAATCTTAGTTCACCACCCAAAATCTTCCCATTACATTTTCAACGTGGAACTCTAATATCATAGTTCACCTTTTAATGGATCTCAAAATCTTCCATGTATATACAATTCAAGTTGACTTTAGGATTCGTAACTAGGGGTGGGTTCAAAAAACCGAAAACCGAAAAAAACCGAACCGAATACCGAACCGAGACCGAAAAAAACCGAACCGAAAAAAAAACCGAACCGAAAGTGCAAAACCGGACCGAACCGAAACTGGTTCAGTTCAGTTCGGTTTCTGGGGTCCGAAAACCGGACCGAACCGGACCGAACCGAAGTATGGAAAAACGACGTCGTTTTTCTCTTGACTTGAACGGTGTCGTTCGTTCGTCCGCGCCTGCCTTCCTTCCTTTCCTTCAATTCAATCCTTCTTCACTCTGTCTGAACTCTGAAACCCTAGAACCGAAAACCCATTCCTTTCCTATTCCCTTTCTCTTGAACGGTGTCATTCCAAATCTCTCTCACCATCTCAGCGACTTGTCTCTCACTCGCCATCGTCGTCTCAGCTCAGCGATCTTTCTCTTATCCCTCTCACTCGCCGTCGCCGTCTCACTCTCAATCTGAATCTGTCACCCTTGCCTGCGACCCACGACTTCCTCTCGCCGTTTCAAGGCTCAAGTCTCGACCCACAAATTCCCTCATTTGCAAGGTTAGTCTCTCACCCCATGATGCGTTTTGCAGATGTTTTTTTTTCAATTTCGTTGGTTCCATCGTAATGGTCTTTAACTCGTAATGGACTTAAATGGTTTGTTTGTAGGGATTGTTGAATTGATTGCGATCATTTGTCTATATCGTAAATGGTTTGTGATTTATTTCTTTAATTTTTGTTGTCTATATCGTAATGGTCTTTAATTCGTTCCTTCTCCAGTGACTTAGATGTGTACACTGTACGAGATGGGTTCTGCAGATGCTTAGATGTGTACATTGCAGCTTGTTCTTTTCTATCTTGAGCTTCTGCATTCCTGCTTGGCTAAAAGTTGCCCATGATATTAACCTCACATTTTAAAAATTCATGCCATTATTTGATTTCTATGCTGAAGCTTGGTTTATTTGTAGTTTGAGGTTCTTTGTATGAGCTTACGATGGTGGGTTTGATTGATGGTGGTGGTGTGGGTGAAGAGGGTGGAGGGGATGGGATTGGAGTGATGGCATTGGCAGCCATTGAATTAGGGGAATTCGTGAGGCTTCATAGTGGGGTAGAAATGTAATAGATAGTCATTGATGAGGTAGTGGGGGGACTTTTTTTGCAACATTAGAAATGTAATAAAATACTTGTCTTGTGCGTAATACTTGAGTTTTTGCAACATTAGAATGATATATGTATAGAGAAGTTAAAGAAAAGAAGAGATTAAATTGTTTGGATGTTGTGCTGATTGTAAAGTACCTTAGATTCTCGATAGGACAAAAACTAACGCGAAAGTAGTGTGTGTTGGTTGCATGTCATTGGTATGGTAGGTACAGCTGCTGTAGTTATCAATAATAGCACGCACCTCAGGGTCAGCCTCACTTAATCCGTTGTCTACAAAACTCCTGCTATTAACCAATGATTCCTTTCATACTACATCAGAAGTTGGGAAAATACAGCCGGAACATATGGTTCTATTAAAGATGTTTATTCATAAGGATGGTTTCGTCATAGAATTGAGTAATGAAATTCTGTAGTTATGCTAATTTGTTTTCTTTTTCTTCTTAATCAATGAGGTATCTAGATGGCTGATAACTACATTTGTGCATATAGTTTGTGTTTTGTATCTTACCTTTGCTTCTTAGTCAATGATGTATCCGTAAGGACAGTAACTTTTCCAAAGCAATCCGTATCTTACCTTTGCTTATTAATTAGATGAAGTCAAGTGCATCAAAGGCCTCGAGCTCAAGCTCAAACTCAATGAGATCATCAAATAGCTCCCGTGAAAAAATGAACTCTTCATCTACGTCTACTCCATCGCAAGTAAGTTGTCAAACTCAAGTAAGTTACCATATACAGATTTTTTATCCAATATATAACAATTCATGCATGCTATAAATCACAGTGGGGGTATTAATCAAAATCAGTAGCTGTAATGATTCTTTCTTTTATTTTTGAAGGGCATTGTTGGTGAATCAACTTTACCTCAACTCCCCATGGTGGCAACTCAACACACTTCTCTTACTCATAGTGATCAAGTAAGTAACGAAGATACTCTCTTGGATTCACTAAAAAGTCATGAAAGGTCTACAATTTGGGAGCACTTTGATAGGACAATTGAGGGAGGTAGAGTTAAAGGGGTGTGCAAGTATTGCAACAAATCGTATATGGCCGACACGGATAAAAATGGTACAACTAGTATAAGAAATCACTTAGCTAGATGTAGGAGCTACGGTCCTAATAAAGAATTATTTGTTGCAACTAGATGCTATGTTCAGTATGTTGCACGCTTGCTTTACATCATGTTCTCATTTTTATTTTTATTTGTATGTAGAAATGGCAAGGGGAAGCTCAAAGAAAGGTGCTATGTTGCCTCCTAGGCCGCCTATGCGTTGAGCTTGAGCTTGAAGACTTGAAGATTTTATTTGTGCAAGACATGAAGTGATGAAACCTTGAAGGTTTATTTGACGATGTTTAAATTTGGACTCTTTGAAGACTTAAACTTGATTGATGATTGATTCTATTTCTAGTTGGACTTTAAGTTTTATGAGACTTTATATGTAGAGATGGAAACATGTCATATTTTCTATTTCTATATTATGTTGTGCTTGTTTTGCATTTTTTGGAGGAAAAAAAAAAAAAAAAAAAAAAAAAAAAAAACCGAAAAAACCGAACCGAAACCGAAACCGAAACCGAAAACCAAAAACCGAACCGAAAAAAACCGAAAAAAATTTGGGCCGAACCGAACCGAACCGAAATTTCGGTTTGGTTTCGGTTTTGGCAAAAAACCGAACCGAATTAAACCGAACCCAGCCCTATTCGTAACCCTTGCTTCATTACCCAAAATATTCTTATGCGCATTTTCGATGTGGAAATTTTGGGCATCACAACTCCTCTTTTCACTTGTAATCTTGTACCCTGTTTCACACTCACCACCAAAAAAAAAATAACCGGTTCTTTGGCTGACCATAACTGGCAGCTGCATGCAGTGTTTCTCTAACTTGGTTGAATTGGGTCATCAATTTATTGGTCACTGGAATTATGTACCTGTTTGGACCCAAATTTACACTATCGGCCCGTGTAATCAAGGCCGTTAGGTAAACATAGTTCTCAACCGTCGGATGGAAAAGTGAAAATATTTTTTGTTATTGTTAAAGGATAATATTATGGTTTTGCCATATTATTTATCCTTTAATTATCCGATCAGTATATCTTCAAACATGGACAGTTCGAGTGAACTTGGGTTTCCTTCTATCAGATTCAAGGTGCATGGATGGGATACCAAGACACGGAATGCATCCAGGTGGGTTTGAGTAAAACACAATTAAAAATTAATTTAATACTCATGTGGTCAGGATGCATGCAACATTTTTGGGAAATGATGGTCTTGGATAATGATGACAAGCCTAGGTGGACTAGGCAATGATGATAAGAAGACTTATTTGAATATGTTTTTATGAGGTTTAGAAAATCACGAAAGTATCTGAAAGATATCCTTTGGTCTCTGAGGATTAATTTGGGTTCCGCAAAGTATGAATTGCAGTGGGACTCTACAAGTTATCAGGCCGTGCCAGGGAAATATGGATGCTATAAATACAGAGTCGCAAGCAACATTCAGCCCACACAAAAATCAATACAAAATTGCCCTGCGCAAACTCTCACAGCTTGAGATCTTTTTCTTTTCCTTTTTCGCTGACACATCTTCCGTTGGCATCAACAGCACTGTGGAAGCAACCGGTGATATCTTAAGTCGGCATAGATAGCTCTGTCACCGTAGAGTCGGTCGGTCTCGCAGTATCTTCCGTTGGCATCAACAGCACTGCGGCGAGAACGGTCGATTGCCTATCCAAGTCTCGGTCGAGAAGGGTTTTCGAATCCTTGTTGGTCGAGGTCATCTCATTAGCCTTCTCGGCGAGGTGAGGTGTTACAGTTATTACATTCGGCACATTGTAAGCCGAATTCGGTTCGTGAACTTTGTAAGAAATAGCAGCCTTGTCTTCAGGCTCGAGAACCCAAGAGGCCGAGACGCGTTCCTTTCTCGGCCGCAATCGCAAGACGCAGAAGTCAGTAGCGCGACCCAACGCAGCATCATCAAATTTACTCCTCGGCCGAGCCTCGGCCGACGAGTTGGCACGTCCCGCAATCACCGAAGGACGTAGTTAGCTTAGAATATATTCGGCCTGCGCGCCACGTAGGCTTTGTAATTTCTAGGGTCAACAGTACCCAATGACATTATGTAATTGTTTAGTATTGATTAATGAACGACTATGCTATCGTTTCTTGTCAAAAAAGTAAAATAATTTTTATTTTCCATAACGTTGAAAGAGGTCATGAATTCAAATTTCCATACTCAAATGATCAAAAACTTGGTTGCCCGAAAGGAAACTTATGTCTTCCTATCTTGTACTCTGACGAGAACGATGAAATCTTGTCATCTGTTTTGAATTTTGAAATTGTTTGCAGTCGTGTTTAATGGTGACCATATTCAATTTGAAATTGATCATGTACGTACTTTGTGGTTTGTTGATTCATGATAAAGTTCTACTCATTTTGCATTTAGAGTTTAAGGTTTAGAATCTGAATTAATATTATCATCGTGTTCAATTTGGAAACAATTTTAGACAAAACAATACAATCAACACAGAAAAATTAGAAGACATTAGAAATAACGAAAATTCTATAGTTCTTTGGAGCAGCAACGGAGTGAAGGTAGGGGCACATTTAGGTGTCTTTGACCCCAATAACTTGCTTTTTCACCATATAAATAGAAAAACCAAGTTTCATTGTATATACTTTCTGTAAATTAGAAGTCATTTGCCTCTCCATTAACCAATATGTTTAATTTTAGCATTTGATATTGACACAATATTAAAAATAAGACGTGCCAAGTCGATAGTGTATGTTTATTACTTTTTAAGCTTATATACATGCATGCCTTCGAAACATCTCACTTCGTTCAAAACTATAGCTCAAAATAGTGTGATCAATTTTAAGATAAATTTTACATGTCTGTTGCAATTAAATTCTGACTCGTTTTAGATTCTATATTATATCATTTTTAACCGTTCGTTATAATAGTATTCTTAAGGCTTAACAAAATATCTAACAATTAAAAAAAAACTTATACGCCAACGTATACAATACCCGAGTATGCAAAAATATATCTAAATTGGTAGAGTAGTTAGAACTTAGAATCGTTAGTAAGGCTCGCTGTAATTAATTATGAGTTCATTTGAAGTTCCTCATCTGGGAATATTCTTGTCTGGTTATAAAATAATTTTATAAGAGGATTAAAAATTAAAGTAAATGTTGGGATTTTAGTTTTTTGATGGGGACCAATAAGAGGCTTATCATGTGGCTCAAATCAAATCCTTCTTTGAAGCATAGACAGATGTGCTGCAGATTGGCTGCGTTAAAAATAGGAGATGGATTGTCTGCCCTCCTCTCCACATACCCTTCTCATATCCTCTTGTTTTGTGTGGTCATAGTTAAGTCTCGTCAACATTTATTTTTTGTCTTATTATTTTTATAAAAAATTAATATAAAATGTTGACGTAACTAAACCGTGACTGCATAAAACAAGAGGCATGGGAAGAGTATAGGGAGAGGAGGGTAGACAATCCATCTCTGTAAAAATAAATGTGATTGACGGCAAAGGTCATCCTTTGTTGGGGCTGATGGAGTATCTATATATGTATATATCTTGTGTGTATGTATGTGTGTATATATATATATAAGAGGTATTCACCAAATTCCTCCCATTAGACAGATGTGCTGCATATTGGCTGCAGTAAAAATAAATGTGATTGACGACAAAGGTCATTCTTTGTTGGGGCTGATGGAGTACCTATATCTGTGTGTGTGTGTGTGTGTGTGTGTGTGTGTGTGTGTATAAGAGGTATTCACCGAATTCCTTCCTGAACTTGTAAGGATCTGCTAATTTCCTCCTTGAACCTTAATTTTAGCCAATTACCCCTAAACTTGTGTAATTCACCAATTTATCCCCTACCGTTATATCTTAGAATTTTCCATCCAATTTGGTCACATGCTCAACACATGCTAATGGTGTGAGGGCAAAAAGGTAATCATATACCACAACCAAAACTAATCGTTGTCGGGTATATGGGGAAGCAGGGGAAGGCGAGCCACATCCTAGGGTTACAATCTGAGAAAAGATAATCAGGAAGCAGGGGGAACAGTAAGTATCATGGTCAGAGATGGTGGGCATCCTCCAAAATCATCCTCCAAGATACAGTAAGTCTTCAAATATTCTTTTTCAATTCCCTCCAAGATACAGACCAAGCAAATTATTCTCTCTGTCTATCCCTCACGTAGGTGTTGGAAATGTGCCCTAAAGCCAATCATATGATGATACTTTACGGACATTTTACATGTTAAACTAATCTAGTTTAATATAAAGGGCAAAGATTATTGTTTGAGCCGTCTCATATAAATGTTATATGCTTAAACGATAAAGTCCAAGGAATATGTGATTGGAAGAATGTAATCTAATGAAGTTAGATTCATGAGACCATTCTTTCGTAGACACATCCTAAATGTTCCTGATCATAGGATTGCCAATTGGGCATTGACAGTCCGTCAAGATCGGTACGTGCTATGTCTTCTCTCAGGGAGAGTGACTAGTCTCGAGTCATTGGTGTGTGTGACATCAAGACAAGTACGTAGGTGCTCAGTAGAGAATGAGTTCACTGAACGCGATCAACGAAGAGTTCTCATACTCATGTCACATGAGAACTCATGTTTGGGATAATGCAAATTAGTCCTTTGACCTGAGGCATCACAGTTGTCTTGTGGTTAAGTCCTTGATCTTTGATTATGTCAATGTCACCCCATCGGGGTGTCCACGGCATCGTTGGGGTTAAGTCACTTAGTCATGGAGGCAAGTGAATGCGCAACAAGGGATCTCTAACCTTCAAACCGTTTGAGGGAGAATACTCTATGATATGATTTAGAATCTCTGGCCAGAGTATGAATGAGATTTAGAAAAGTCGTTCTAAATCACATTCAAGGAAATCATATAAGAACACGAATCACATTGGATAGTAGACATGAATAAATAAACTATCAAACCAAACAATGTGGTCAGGAGTATTAGATTAGAGAAAGACCGTATTGCATTTGTAATCCTAAACTGAATAGGTTCTTAACCTCTTCTGATTAGCTTGGGTAACCATGACATACGGCTAGGTGTCACTCATGGTATGTGGAAGCCCTAAAAGTGTATTATCACTAAAGGGAGAATTGAAAGTAAGTTTCAATTCATAATCGATTTGAAAGAGTTTTGATCGCCCACTGCCTCGCTAAAAGGAACCTAATGGATCGTACACCGTATAAGGTGGAGATGGATGAAACAAACTAAATGAGTAAGAATAATTGAATAGTTTAATTATTTATGGCAAGGATTAATTAATATGTTAATTAATCAAACGAATAAGTTCGTTAAAGACCTCGGGATAGGTTTTGGACCTTAAGGCCCAATGGGCTTCGAACGTCAAGCCCATTGACTTAAGTTGTATGACAACTTAATGAATAATGATTCACTAAGACCCAAAAGCCCAAACAACCCCCCATGGCCGG